AACGGCGGAGCTGCAACAACTGAGCGATAAGTTGTTAACTTTTAAATTAATAGGCAACTATTCTTCTTAAAGGTTCACTGTGTTTTAGTGACATCTAGTGGCGAGGATTGCAAATTGCAACCAGCAGCTCACGGTGCATTCAAGTGCTCTTCGGATGGTCCCATTTCCCTGAGTTGTGAAGTCGTTCTTCTGACTTCAGCGTGTGTTCATGTGGTCTTAAATCAGAATATGGAATCAACATGGATGCTGCTACAAAGATGTGTTGGATTAACATTATTAGAGCAGATAAATGTAGAGACAAAAGAGCAGTTTGTCAGTTTGGGCTACTGTACAAACATGGCGGTGCAACGGGGGGACTTCCCTGTAAGAGGACCTCATTCGAAAGTAGTAAAAACATAACGGTTCATTTTATAAGGTCTTTATACACCACTGAAAACATGGTTATGGATCTTATATTACATTTCTGTCAATGGATCCTCCTAAATGTCACACACTGACCTTTAATGGTGAGGACATCGTTTTGGGCTTTTAAACACTGATCGACAATTTTTTGACCGAACCACAAGGAGCAGCTCCTGTTAGTTTTTAAAGACTAACCAACCAACTAATCGAAGTCAACTTGGTAGCACCAGAGGCTTTAAAATTTGCCATCTAAACACCCGAAGCATTGTTCCCAAACTAGACGAATTTAAAATCTTGCTTGCGCAGTCGAAAGCACATGTAACGGCAATCTCTGAATGATGGTTAACTTCCAATATTCCTGATTCTTTTCTTTCAATTGAAAATTATGAATTGTATCGTAAAGATCGCATTAGTAAGACCAGCGGTGGAGTGGCTTTCTATGTGAGTCGGAAATATGCACACTTGATATCAAAAATTGAAACTGATACTGAAACACTGAAACTGATTATACATTTTTCACCTGCAATGAAACTCAGATTGTATCAATTAATTAAGGATCCAACAAGAATTGGCAAAACACGCAGCTCTATCCTGTTTTTTTTTTCACACATCAGCCTTCAAAATATGCAATGTCTGGTATCATAGACGTGGCTATTTCAGATCATTTGCTCATCTATGCAGTTAGAAAAATCTTAAAATCCAAAAATACTCATGTTCCCCACTCTGTATCAAAAATACAATCACAATTCAATGCTGATTTTAGTGCTACTGACTGGAGTGATGAGCTGTCATTAGAAGATCCAGAACGAATCCTAACGCAATTTCATACTAAACTACATAAAATACAAAATAAATATGGCACTGCCAGCAAGGTTCGACCAAGAAAAAATAAATTACCTTGGATAAATTCTGAAATACTTAAAACTCCTTAAATTGAAGGCCTCTCTTCTTAAATTGTATAGGTTAAATCGACCATCTGAGAGTAATTTTATACAAATTAGAAATAAATTGAATCTGGAACTGCGTAAGGCTAACATTCTCACATCCATGATATTTATGGTTTAAACACCTTATTTTTAAAGATTCATGCTGATAGCCTCATACCTCTTATTTTGCATTTAACTAATATTTGTATCAGTCTTTCTATTTTTCCTACTTACTGGAAAACAGCACAAATTACTCCAATTTTTAAATCTGATTCAGTTCGATCTGCTGTCTGCAGCTTGACGTGGCAAAAATAGAATATTCTCTGTGGAGCGGAGACACGCTTCTGGCAGCCACCTCAGTGGACTTTGTGGGTGAGACTCTCATCGACTGTGAGGAGGCAGCCGAGGCGCAACTGCAGGAAACTAAATGGAATCCATTAAGCCTGAACATGTTGTGATTTTACAGATATGTTCATTAGAAATGTTTCCTTCTTATGTTGCTACAAAGCCCAGGTGGAATTAAGTTTTCCTTCAAATGTATTAGCTGTTACTGTATAAGCATCACTGCTCCACTGCAGTAATGAACACTGTGTGGAGACAGAAGAGGCTGAAAGAAGCCGGCTGGATTTGTGTGATTCAGGCTGTGGATGCGTCATCAATTTTCGTCAGCTGATCTTTAAAGATCAGTATAGTACAGGCTGTACCTCAGAGAACAATAAAAGAAACATGTAGTCATCCAGTAATGAGACCTTCAGGGTCCAACACCTCGAGCCCGTTTGGTTTGCAACGCCCCCCGCAGGCCAATCACTGTCATTCTGACACTAAACACACACATCAGGGTCAGTTACCTCGTCGTGGCAGAACCACTGAGCTGTATAAAGACTACAGGTGTATAACAGACACATAACAGATTCTGACTGTAAAAACCCTGTGCTACAAAGTGGAGATGTGGTGTTCACCAGGTCCACATTTTAACGTGTCCAAAACTAACGACATTCCAATCAGCCTCAGCAGTACTCCATGCGTTGTACTCCATGCGTTGTACTCCGTGCGTTGTACTCCGTGCGTTGTACTCCGTGCGTTGTACTCCGTGCGCTGTACGCCGTGCGCTGTATTGTGCGTTGTACTCTGCGCGTTGTATTGTGCGTTGTACTCTGCGCGCTGTATTGTGCGCTGTACTCTGTGCTTTGTACTCTGTGCCCTGTATTGTGCGCTGTATTGTGCGCTGTACTCTGTGCTTTGTACTCTGTGCCCTGTATTGTGCGTTGTATTGTGCTCTGTATTGTGCGCTGTACTCTGTGCTTTGCACTCTGTGCCCTGTATTGTGCGTTGTACTCTGTGCGCTGTATTGTGCGCTGTACTCTGTGCTTTGTACTCTGTGCCCTGTATTGTGCTCTGTATTGTGCGCTGTACTCTGTGCTTTGCACTCTGTGCCCTGTATTGTGCGTTGTACTCTGTGCGCTGTATTGTGCGCTGTACTCTGTGCTTTGTACTCTGTGCCCTGTATTGTGCGCTGTATTGTGCGCTGTACTCTGTGCTTTGTATTGTGCTCTGTATTGTGCGCTGTACTCTGTGCTTTGCACTCTGTGCCCTGTATTGTGCGTTGTACTCTGTGCGCTGTATTGTGCGCTGTACTCTGTGCTTTGTACTCTGTGCCCTGTATTGTGCGCTGTATTGTGCGCTGTACTCTGTGCTTTGCACTCTGTGCCCTGTATTGTGCGTTGTACTCTGTGCGCTGTATTGTGCGCTGTACTCTGTGCTTTGTACTCTGTGCCCTGTATTGTGCGCTGTATTGTGCGCTGTACTCTGTGCTTTGTATTGTGCTCTGTATTGTGCGCTGTACTCTGTGCTTTGTACTCTGTGCCCTGTATTGTGCGTTGTACTCTGTGCGCTGTATTGTGCGCTGTACTCTGTGCTTTGTACTCTGTGCCCTGTATTGTGCGTTGTACTCTGTGCGCTGTATTGTGCGCTGTACTCTGTGCTTTGTACTCTGTGCCCTGTATTGTGCGTTGTACTCTGTGCCCTGTATTGTGCGCTGTACTCTGTGCTTTGTACTCTGTGCCCTGTATTGTGCGTTGTACTCTGTGCGCTGTATTGTGCGCTGTATTGTGCGCTGTACTCTGTGTCCTGTATTGTGCGTTGTACTCTGTGCCCTGTATTGTGCGTTGTACTCTGTGTCCTGTATTGTGCGTTGTACTCTGTGCCCTGTATTGTGCGTTGTACTCTGTGCCCTGTATTGTGCGTTGTACTCTGTGCCCTGTATTGTGCGCTGTACTCTGTGCTTTGTACTCTGTGCCCTGTATTGTGCGTTGTACTCTGCGCCCTGTATTGTGCGTTGTACTCTGCGCCCTGTATTGTGCGTTGTACTCTGCGCCATGTATTGTGCGTTGTACTCTGCGCCATGTATTGTGCGTTGTACTCTGCCCGCTGTATTGTGCGTTGTACTCTGCGCGCTGTATTGTGCGTTGTACTCTGTGTACCCTGTGTGCTGTACCCTGTACTCTGTATTCTATGTGCTGTACCCTGTACCCTGTGTGCTGTACCCTGTACCCTGTGTGCTGTACCCTGTACCCTGTACTCTGTATTCTGTGTGCTGTACTCTGTACCCTGTGTGCTGTACCCTGTACCCTGTACTCTGTATTCTGTGTGCTGTACTCTGTACCCTGTGTGCTGTACCCTGTACCCTGTGTGCTGTACCCTGTACTCTGTATTCTGTGTGCTGTACTCTGTGACCTGTGTGCTGTACCCTGTGTGCTGTACCCTGTACTCTGTATTCTGTGTGCTGTACCCTGTGTGCTGTACCCTGTACTCTGTATTCTGTGTGCTGTACCCGGTACCCTGTGTGCTGTACCCTGTACCTTGTACCCTGTGTGCTGTACCCTGTACCCCTGCACATAAACAACAGAAGAACACACAAACCAGAAAATGCTCGCCTGTGATTGGCAGTCAGCGATATAATTAATATATGTGTCCTCTGCTGACGTCCTTCAGGTCAGTGGTTTAACCTCCTTTCTACAATCAGAGCTCAGGTGTATTAAACTGCACGCGGCCGTGCCTACAGCGCCGATGCTTCAGGTGCGGTTAGCCATTAACAGAGTTTTAAATAACGGAGGCCATGCTCTGCTTACGTTCTTCACCTGCAGTAAACTGGTGTTCTACTGGTAAAGAACACGGGAGTAGAACAACACGCCTCAGCTGCTAAGCTGCTGTTTTATTAAGCGTTTTCAAAGCTCTATGATTGTTTCTTGTTTCTTCTGTCTCTTACTGAAATGCACCCTGGGAGTCGTAGTTGACTTTTTGCACCTTTGACTTTTAATCAGAATCAGATATATTTTGTTCTGATGATAACCAGGAGAGCTTAATGTCTTGAAGAGTCCCCTAACACGGTCCATGAAGAGCCCTGGCCCCCCAGAATCCTTTTCCCTGGGGTTTTGGATGCTGTCACATTTTCTTTCTGGACCTGAAGCTGAAATCTGAGACTTTTTGGACAGCAGCAACAAGAGCAGTAAATGGCCTGTACTTGTGAACACTCAGAGCACTTTACACTACATGTCACATTCACACACTGATGGCAGCAGACTTCAGGAGACATGTGGGGTTCAGTATCCGGAGATCGAACCACAAACCGTCTGATTAGTGGACTTGTATGAATGTATAGGTGTGTGAGTTCACCTGTCCAGGCTGAGTGAGGATCCGGGTATTCCCGTGTAAAACAGGGGCTTCAGGTCTTTGATCAGAGCATCTCCTGCCGGCCTCTGGTTCCACTTCTGGGCCAAACGAGAGATCTTACTGTCAGACCTGACACACACAGACACACAGAAGTAGAAAGGGATGGATAAGAACCTCACGGCAATAAATCCACAGCTGACAAAAAAACTGTCCTCGACAGGTGTTCCAGGTGAAACCACACCAGAACCAGTGGAAGCAGATCTGAAAGGACCAGCAGAGGATGTTCTCACAACTTCATTCTACCTTTCTCCCTGAGCAAAGACTTTAAAAACCCAACATTCACTGGAAAGAAAAAGCTCCGTCGCATCAAACTGTCCCCAGAGTCACTTTGCAGCATCATCACAACAACAAACGCTTCAGTGGTGTTACATCACTGCTGAAAAGATGAATCTCATCGAGACTTTGATAAACATTTGATGATTTAATGTCTTCTGCGAGCAGAGATTTTTTTTCCTCTTCCAAGAAGAAGAACAACAACAGGGACTGAAAGATTCAGCTGCAGTCTAACGTCCCCCTGGACTGCAGCAAAAATCAACAAAGCAAAGACAAAAACCCGGCTCCCAACAGTCCAGCTCGGCTTAAATTGGATCCTGGTTCACCCGAGCTGGTCAACAAACCTGCACCACAAACCCAAAATAAGGAACTATTCTGCTTTACAAAAGACCAGACCACACGAGACACCTGTCAGATTGAAACCAAGGAAGAAAAGTTGCTACAAAAAGTAGAATACAAAACCTGTAACCTGTTACTGTTTCTACAGATCGGTCTTTAACCTGGAGATTCTGGCTTCAGTGATACTCACTAGAAAGATTGGAAGAACTCTGAGGATCCTCCAGGGGGAAATACAACAGGCTGATCAGCAGCAGATCTATCCCAGCGTCTGAGTCTCCTGCGCTGGGTTCAATCTCTCTGTCTGATGCCTCCTGCCTGCCTCTGGCTATCTGGAGCTGTGGATCATCTCCAGAGGGGGAGCAGAGACTCCGGCAGCCCCCAGATGGAAGCTTAGTCCTGGGTACGCGTGTGCGAGAGAGCGAGCTTCTCTGTCTGCTACTGTGGAGCTCCGGCTGCTCTGGCTCACTGTGCTGAACACCTGCTCGCCGGCAAACGCACCATCGCGACGCATCGGCACGCACACACATTCACGAGTGGACACACACACACACACACACACACACACAGCAGAGCGCAAGATAGTGAGTGAGTGGTCGAGAGAGAGAGAGAGGTGTGTGTGTGTGTGTGTGTGTGTGTGTGTGTGTGTGCGCATATGTGGGGGGTAGTTAGTGTGCCCAGTGATATAAAAAGCACACACACAATAACGACTATGTAAACCCTGATGGAGGAGGGGCGGCAGCTTCAGGCTTTGAAAAGGCAAGAGGAGGCGACAGTGTGAGGAGGTGAGGGAGGAAACAGAGTCGCTGCAGCAAAATAAAAAATAAAAAATCTAGGCAGTCCAATCTAATCAAACGGAGGATATCAGCGTAATGATCTGCAGCTGCTGAAACATCCTCCCTGAAGAGGCTGACAGGTTGTTGCACAGAAAACTGGAAGTGTTTGAGTCACGGCTTCCTGCTGCAGAGATAAAGTCATCATCAACTACAGTTTTAAATGATTGTTTTCACGTGTAATTAACTGATTAATTAAAAGGTGACAGGGCTGAAAAATCAGACAAACTGGCAACAGAGTGTATCTGTCCAAATCACTGATAACATGATGTGATATTATCCATGTTGTCTGACACAAAGACTTCATGCATATATCAGGTGATCAAAGTCGTCTCTCCAAACGGCTGAGGAATAATTACTACTTTTGCTTAATTCGAGGTCAGAAAATGTTACGTTATGTTAAGAATACCCATCAGGGTATCTCCTGAAGCCAGATCTGACTGTTTCAAATGTAAACGTATTTGTAGTTTCTAGTCTTTTCGACCACTCAAAGCGCTTTACACTACATCTGCATTCACCAGTCATACACATTCATACACTGAGCCTAAGTGCTCAAACAGAAACTATCACTCACACACATTCATACAGGTGTTCGGGGTTCTTGCCCAAGGACACTTCGACACGCAACCAGTGGGAGCCGGGGATTGAACCGACGACCTTCGATTAACGGGTAACCTGCTCTACCTCCTGAGCATAGCCGCCCTTTTGTTTCAAACAAAAGATGTTCGCAACCAGAGAATATTTGGTGTTTGTGCTTGAAATGATTCACCAATTATCAAAATATCGTAGCTGCTTGTTGATTTTTATTTGTCATTTATCAAGTGAACATATCAAACTGTCTCTGGCTGCAGCTGCTGTAGAGTCACACTGTCCTGCTCTTCTCTTTAGCACTTTGGGTTTGTGCTGTGTTTAGGATCCTAAGTGGCATGTGTGGTGTTTAGGACCCTGCATAGTTTCTGCCGTGTTTAGGACCCTGTGTGGTTTGTGGGGTGCCTAGGACCCAGCATTGTTTGTGCTGTATTGGGACCCTGTGTGGTTTGTGGGGTGCCTAGGACCCAGCATTGTTTGTGCTGTATTTGGGACCCTGTGTGGTTTGTGGGTGCCTAGGACCCAGCATTGTTTGTGCTGTATTTGGGACCCTGTGTGGTTTGTTTTGGTGCCTAGGACCCAGCATTGTTTGTGCTGTATTTGGGACCCTGTGTGGTTTGTTGGGGTGCCTAGGACCCAGCATTGTTTGTGCTGTATTTGGGACCTGTGTGGTTTGTTTTGGTGCCTAGGACCCAGCATTGTTTGTGCTGTATTTGGGACCCTGTGTGGTTTGTTTTGGTGCCTAGGACCCAGCATTGTTTGTGCTGTATTTGGGACCCTGTGTGGTTTGTTTTGGTGCCTAGGACCCAGCATTGTTTGTGCTGTATTTGGGACCCTGTGTGGTTTGTGGGGTGCCTAGGACCCAGCATTGTTTGTGCTGTATTTGGGACCCTTTGTGGTTTGTTTTGGTGCCTAGGACCCAGCATTGTTTGTGCTGTATTTGGGACCCTGTGTGGTTTGTTTTGGTGCCAAGGACCCAGCATTGTTTGTGCTGTATTTAGGACCCTATGTGGTTTGTTTTGGTGCCAAGGACCCAGCATTGTTTGTGCTGTATTTGGGACCCTATGTGGTTTGTTTTGGTGCCTAGGACCCAGCATTGTTTGTGCTGTATTTGGGACCCTTTGTGGTTTGTTTTGGTGCCTAGGACCCAGCATTGTTTGTGCTGTATTTAGGACCCTATGTGGTTTGTTTTGGTGCCAAGAACCCAGCATTGTTTGTGCTGTATTTGGGACCCTTTGTGGTTTGTTTTGGTGCCAAGGACCCAGCATTGTTTGTGCTGTATTTAGGACCCTATGTGGTTTGTTTTGGTGCCAAGGACCCAGCATTGTTTGTGCTGTATTTGGGACCCTATGTGGTTTGTTTTGGTGCCTAGGACCCAGCATTGTTTGTGCTGTATTTGGGACCCTATGTGGTTTGTTTTGGTGCCAAGGACCCAGCATTGTTTGTGCTGTATTTGGGACCCTATGTGGTTTGTTTTGGTGCCTAGGACCCAGCATTGTTTGTGCTGTATTTGGGACCCTTTGTGGTTTGTTTTGGTGCCTAGGACCCAGCATTGTTTGTGCTGTATTTGGGACCCTTTGTGGTTTGTGGGGTGCCTAGGACCCAGCATTGTTTGTGCTGTATTTGGGACCCTGTGTGGTTTGTGGGGTGCCTAGGACCCAGCATTGTTTGTGCTGTATTTGGGACCCTGTGTGGTTTGTTGGGGTGCCTAGGACCCAGCATTGTTTGTGCTGTATTTGGGACCCTGTGTGGTTTGTGGGGTGCCTAGGACCCAGCATTGTTTGTGCTGTATTTGGGACCCTGCGTGGTTTGTTGGGGCGCCAGCTGGACCTGGCGCGTGCCTGTGTGTAAAAACGTCCATGATTGGCTTCTCGTCATGAACGGTTGTTCATGCAGAGCTGCATTCTTATGTCCTGTCGGTCTTAACTTTAATGTTACTCTGCCTCTGACAGGAAACATCAACACGTCTGCCGGTTAAACTGCGGCACCAGAGTCTCGCTGTTACATCTCTAGAACAGGAAGCAGACATTTAAAAAAAAAGACTTGTGCTGGAGGTAAATTATTTAATACCTTTAATTTAACAGGCTGTTTTTTTATGATGAACTGTCAGTGGTCCTACGTTTTCTGCTTGTACGTCCTCAGGTTCTCATTCCACACTAAATGTCTGTTTATAAAAAGATGGAGCAGTGTCTGCATTTCAGGAAGATAAGAACCAGGATGATGAGATGTTCTGAGTCCCGGTTCTGTCAAAGAACCTACTGATAGTGGAAAAGGACACACAGAAAAGCCAATATTTGGGATAAACATGACGACTGAAAAGTCATCAGGGGTGAAAAAAAGGTGACAAAGGTTGTTCTGAGCACCACGATGAATTATTTCTGTTCTGTACAACAGACGGAGGGAGAAGAAGATGAGAAGGAGGTGGAGGGGTTTCTGGTCTCACAGGAAGAAGGTTAAGACTGAACAGATAAGGAGATGAACAAGAAAGAAACAGAAGACAGAAGGAGAAAAAGACAGGGGCAAAAAGGAGAAGAGAAGATGCAAAGGAAAGAAAAAGAAGAGGAGAATATAAGAAAGAAAAGGAGAAAAGGGGAGGACATGAAGAAAAAGAGAAGTGGATGAAAAATAAAAAGGAAGAGAAGGAGGAAATAAATAAAACAGAAGGAGACGATAACAGAAAACAAGACGATAAAGAAAGAAAAAGAAGATAAAAGAAAGGAGAAGGAATTAAAGAAAAAAAAAGGAAGAGAAGGAGATGAAGAAAAGAGAAGATGAAGAAACAGGAGAAGGAGGAGAAGGGACAAAAGGAGAAGATGGAAAGAAAAAGAAAAGGAGGAGGAGATTTTCTGAGCTGATGCACAAGAAGAAGAAGGTGACAGGTGGAGGAGGCTGCTGGAGGTTTCTCCCCTCTTCAACTCTCCACCTTCCCTCTTTTGTCTCCCTCGTAAAAAGTAAAAAAAAGGAGGAGAAAGAGCACAATTCAGACGGGAAAAACATTTGTTGTCTCTTGACGTTGACTACTGTACATATTTTTGCCAA